AAATCCAACTTCACATAAAGTTTGATTATGAATAGATGAATAATTAGCTTCCCACAACCTCTGTTTTTAAACACGTATTTGACATACGTTGATAAACGTCCTTTGACTCCAAGTCATGGTAGCTTAGTGGACTCAGTACTTGCACCCAACGAAATTCTAAAGGTCAGCATTTATCCTTCATTTAAAATATTCTATCTCCATTCAAGTTTTTCACAAAACGGTCTGTAGCTGTAATTGCATTGGATGAACCACTAAATCTATCATGCTTCCCGGCAGTGAGATAGCCACAGGGTGCCAGGTTAGGTCACAAATACACAGTTTGCATTTAATAATTATGCAGGAAGATATGCATAATACAGAGAGGCAGGTGACAATGTCCCATGTGATATTACATAATAGAGATTCATTCTTCACGCTCTAAAGTTGTAAAAACTCTCATTGGAATTTTATTTACTCAAATCTTCCAATGTGGGCATTTACATTCAACATCCTGATTTCCTGTACCACATGTATATAAGGCGGTGTGAATCCCAAAAGCGACATTCAAATTGTTTATTCTCTCGTGGATAAACAGCGTAACTGACAGGATGCGCCTTCTTAATGTTGCAGTTGTTGTAGTCTTGGGTAAGTGTGCCTTATCTGATGAGAATTCGCAATCTTAAACTTTGTAATAATCAACTTTATTAGCTCTTGCTGAGTTTTAAGTGGCTTTTCGATTTGCTGACAACGTAATGAATAGGATAGTTTCTACCATGGTCTAAACTGTATCAGGAATGGTGGACGGATTTTGTGTGTGTGTGTGTGTGTGTATCCTGTCATATATGACCACTTATGTATTGTTGTTTCTTTACATTCTTCACAGTCTTCCTTGGCTCCGCCCTTGGTGGCCATGGTGGTGGTGGTGGCGGCCATGGAGGCGGAGGCCACGGAGGCGGAGGCCATGGAGGTGGCGGCCACGGTGGTGGTGGTGGTGGTGGTGGTCACGGAGGCGGCGGTCACGGTGGTGGAGGTCACGGAGGTGGTGGCCATGGAGGAGGAGGAGGAGGAGGACACGGAGGTGGTGGCCATGGAGGAGGAGGAGGACACGGAGGTGGTGGCCACGGAGGAGGTGGTCACGGAGGAGGTGGTCATGGAGGTGGTGGTCATGGAGGCGGACACCACGGTTAAAAGATTCAAGGATCATCATATTCACATCAAATGCTGGACATTTGATATCATATTTGTCGATTGCACTCACCATGCTGCATCCATCCATTCTGTCTATTTCTCAACGAGTACAAATAAAGCTGTGATTTATATTGTAAATATATCTTTGGTTATATTTTCTTCAAGTACAATCAAATTCAAGATTGTATGAGCTAGTTTCCCTACTTACTTTTCAGTGTCCTGCATAGTGATTGTCACTTTGGAATCATTGCCCACAAAGGTTAGGAACCTCGGAGGCCTGCCAATAAACCTATACACATGTTGAACAAAGCAACTAGACTGTTTCTGTCCGAAAATGCATGAAGTCCCATTTAGTATCGTACTATTATTATGGCCTCTAAACGTCCACCTGGCTTATAATTACAGCCGTGTGCATGTCCAAATAAAACTGTGGCACGTGCCTCAATGCACTCATGCAATGCCGATAGAATTAAGAGCTTATACAGTTGAGCAGCGCTCCATCAATACAACGGCACGTTCTCAAGAGAAAGCCCACTCTAAACCAAAACCAATTGGTTTGTTTTCTGTTTTTTCAAAAGTCCAGCGCAATATGAATGGTCAAGGAGCAGATTCGCTCTAAGATAGACTAGGCCCGAGGCCACAGTTACGTCCCCTAAGTTTTACCATGACCCGGAAGGTAAATAGGAGAATATAGTCCCCTGTTTGAATGGGTTGTTGAGTCTGTGCCAGATATGTTTGGAGTGACTTGTGATTGCTTAAATGCAAGATTGGACATTGTTTTGTGTTGGTAATTTGTTTTGATCCAAAATGTGTGCATGATATTGACTCGAACTTCCTATGATTTGACCCCCAGTTGAAGGCCGATGGGTGTGTTTCGGCTCGATACTTCCAGTGACCGTTGTTGACAGCGTTTACTTGGAAGTCGAACTGGTGGACCCAGACTGGTATTTTGCCGTTTAAATGATAAGTAACAGGTTAGTCAGCATGGGCGATATTAATCAGTATGAGTTGGCATGCCACTGTAGATAGCAAAGAATGACGAATAATTGTTCTCTGAGGCCAGATGAATGTTCATCTCTGGTGCTGTAGTTTGGTGGGTGGGTGTGGTTAATGGTTGGCAGGAAGGGGCTCATACATGGGTAATAGATTGACGGTTGAAGCCCCTAGTGCCTGTCATAAACTACCACCACATCCATGTTCCTGCGGAGACAGTGGTTTCATCAGGTATTCGTGTGATGGATAAGTATATCCTGTCCACATGTGGTGTTCGAAAGCTGAGATTTTACCACTCTTTAGAAAATGTTCATGCATTTCATCATTGATTAGTGTTTGGGCCAGTTACGAAATAGCATAAAATGTGACGTGAACTTTCTCACCCAAACACTCCCAAACACACACATATACACACACGAGATAAACTTAGATGGAAGAGTTCCTTTTAAAAGTAATATGGGCAGGGATGACATGATTTCCCTGTGTTCATTCATATGTTATAGGCCAGAAAACCAAAGAGCGTATATCATCAGCTTTCACCCTGTTTCATTGTAGAAAGTAATGAGACTTTGAAATTATTAGGGCAGGTATTCAAACTTTGAAATATATCACACACTTGAAAAATCCAACTTCACATAAAGTTTGATTATGAATAGATGAATAATTAGCTTCCCACAACCTCTGCTTTTAAACACGTATTTCACATACGTTGATAAACGTCCTTTGACTCCAAGTCATGGTAGCTTAGTGGACTCAGTACTTGCACCCAACGAAATTCTAAAGGTCAGCATTTATCCTTCATTTAAAATATTCTATCTCCATTCAAGTTTTTCACAAAACGGTCTGTAGCTGTAATTGCATTGGATGAACCACTAAATCTATCATGCTTCCCGGCAGTGAGATAGCCACAGGGTGCCAGGTTAGGTCACAAATACACAGTTTGCATTTAATAATTATGCAGGAAGATATGCATAATACAGAGAGGCAGGTGACAATGTCCCATGTGATATTACATAATAGAGATTCATTCTTCACGCTCTAAAGTTGTAAAAACTCTCATTGGAATTTTATTTACTCAAATCTTCCAATGTGGGCATTTACATTCAACATCCTGATTTCCTGTACCACATGTATATAAGGCGGTGTGAATCCCAAAAGCGACATTCAAATTGTTTATTCTCTCGTGGATAAACAGCGTAACTGACAGGATGCGCCTTCTTAACGTTGCAGTTGTTGTAGTCTTGGGTAAGTGTGCCTTATCTGATGAGAATTCGCAATCTTAAACTTTGTAATAATCAACTTTATTAGCTCTTGCTGAGTTTTAAGTGGCTTTTCGATTTGCTGACAACGTAATGAATAGGATAGTTTCTACCATGGTCTAAACTGTATCAGGAATGGTGGACGGATTTTGTGTGTGTGTCTATCCTGTCATATATGACCACTTATGTATTGTTGTTTCTTTACATTCTTCACATTCTTCCTTGGCTCCGCCCTTGGTGGCCATGGTGGTGGTGGTGGCGGCAATGGAGGCGGAGGCCATGGAGGTGGCGGCCACGGTGGTGGTGGTGGTCACGGAGGCGGCGGTCACGGTGGTGGAGGTCACGGAGGTGGTGGCCATGGAGGAGGAGGAGGACACGGAGGTGGTGGCCATGGAGGAGGAGGAGGAGGAGGACATGGAGGTGGTGGCCACGGAGGAGGTGGTCACGGAGGAGGTGGTCATGGAGGTGGTGGTCATGGAGGCGGACACCACGGTTAAAAGATTCAAGGATCATCATATTCACATCAAATGCTGGACATTTGATATCATATTTGTCGATTGCACTCACCATGCTGCATCCATCCATTCTGTCTATTTCTCAACGAGTACAAATAAAGCTGTGATTTATATTGTAAATATATCTTTGGTTATATTTTCTTCAAGTACAATCAAATTCAAGATTGTATGAGCTAGTTTTCCTACTTACTTTTCAGTGTCCTGCATAGTGATTGTCACTTTGGAATCATTGCCCACAAAGGTTAGGAACCTCGAAGGCCTGCCAATAAACCTATACACATGTTGAACAAAGCAAATAAACTGTTTCTGTCCGAAAATGCATGAAGTATCGTACTATCATTATGGCCTCTAAACGTCCACCTAGCTTATAATTACAGCCGTGTACATGTCCAAATAAAACTGTGGCACGTGCCTCAATGCCCTTATGTGAATCCCAAAAGCGATAACATTTGTCCTTCATTTTATAAATTCTCTCTTCATTCAAGTTTTTGACAAAACGGTCTGTAGCTGTAATTGCATTGGCTGAACCACTAAATCTATCATGCTTCCCGGCAGTGAGGTAGCCACATGGTGCCATGTTAGGTTACAAATACGGTTTGCATTTAAGAATCATAATATTTAGTTTTGTGAGTGGAAGAAGACTTTCACACCGACCGACACACACACACATTCTCTCTCCCTCTCTCTCTCTAGTACATATAATGAATTAACTACAAGAGAGTTTGTAACAAGATAAAACTTTGAAATGAAAACGTTCAAACATGAGGTTATAGTCGCTTGCACACAGTAAACATAGTAATCACATGCAAGTGATTTTGTGACAAGCATGTACGTGTTTGTCAACAAAACATTAGTAGAAATAAGGTGTCTAATTGGCCTGTGCTTGTCAGCATGATTACTAAGGTTCGATTTCCTTCTTTGGTACAACCAGGAAGTCTGTTCTTTTTTTACCCACTGTGAATTTGCTAGAATAGCAGTTTGATAGCAGTATGAAAAAGCTAGAGTTAGGGAATCAGCTCGCTCAGAGAGGTACCACTGTACACTACCAACCCACACAAGACCTTAGTGAATAAACAATCATTTTATTAAACAGCCACAGAATGAATCTAATATTTAATCAAACAACAGAAATGTTTACAATGAGCACGTTTACAATCAGTCATAGAAGTACATATATGCGAGGTACCCGACATAGAATCATTACACAAAAATACATACTACATCAGTCACGACACATATCCCAAGGTACACAACGTAATGCAGCAGTGTACATATGATAGACACACTAATACATTACCTGGGCATTTAAGCAAGCTAATTCTGGTTCAGCCACTATACATATTCAAGAAAGTAAACAACGTAATAAACTTAACAGAATTGGCCTAATGTATTCACCGCAGTATTATTAATGGGAATAGCTCGGATAAAAAAAGTATGACATTTTCATTTACCAAATATATTTGCATGCGTTGCCAAGGGTATAAGCATATAGTTCAGATTTAACATCGTACAAGATGGTAACGTTTGAGTGAATAAACAATCAGTTTATTAGACAGTCCGGATTTATACTTATTCTAGCTTCTACAGATAATCTCATTTTCTGATTAAACTGACGATAATTATAAAGTTATTATTATGAACTTTAATGGCGCAATCTCTACACAAATATATAATATAGTTTGATCGAAGCATTGATGATAAAAGTGTTTATGAGTGAAGTGGCGTAAGAATAATAGCCCACCAGTTACTAGTATGCCATGAATGTATAGGTGGTAGGTGTGATGATGGTGAACGATAAACAGCTGCAGATACAGATAAAGTTATTAACGTCTTAGATTTGTTTGCCTAACTCTATCTGACCAGCACAACGAGAGATACTGGTCCTTGATCATGTCCGAAATGTGTTATCAGTTTGACCCTTGGCAGGTTTAAAATACTGGAACATGGTCTGCAAGTTTGTGATATTCTCTATTTCCAATCCTTAATATGTGGCCTGTAAAGTGATACAATATTTGTGAAACTTTGTCCATTATCCCTATGTTAATAGCAACATAACATTTTCCCACTCAGCCCAACTCTCTGACAGGATGTCTACTTGATATAAACATGAATTTCATTAATGATGCTGTCCACACAACAATATGAATATGGAAAACCTTTGAGTGGAATACTTTAAAAGAAAAGTCATTGCGACTGCTTGAATAGGTTCAGGTTTTGAACATACATTCACACCTGATTTAAGATTTCAATATCGCTTTTCGGGGCGGTCGGGTAGCCTAGTGGCGTAAAACCATATTCACTCACTCAATATCGCTTTGCCTTTATGTAGGTGAGTGTAAAAACTGATGTGCATGCTGTGTAAATCAGGGTAGTGGATTTACGCAAAGTGTGCGCAAATCATAAATATGTCAACAATAATCACATCAGGGTTGCTTATATAATCATTAACACAAAATACTGTACACAACATTAAGGAATCCGTGACATCATTCAGCGCAATACACAAGCCCCGCCCATCCTTTAAGCCAATCAGGAAACAGTAATCCGTCAGTGAGCGTGGCCAGATGGTTTATGGACACATACATGCTCAAAACTGCTTTTTTAGCAAAACAAATGCCACGGAGTCAACTGCATATTTTTGATAAAGGTTTAAGAATTCACAGACTGCATCACGAACTTACACCTGAGGCCAGGAAACACGATTCGACTTCCCGTGGATCGATTCACATTTTAATTCATATTAACCTTTCGTTATGACTACTCGGGCTTGATTACATTACCGCCTATCAAGAAACAAATTGCTAAATCGTGCAAGTTAAACAAAAACTGGCTAACAGCAATCGAAATAGGAGAATTTGTCATAAAACGGCGTAAATTAACTATCGCAAAATATATGGCTATAGATATACCACTATGAAATTGTGACATTTTAACCATAGTAATATAGCAATATGAAAGATGGATGGTCCTTGTCTTTTTTGTAGTTGTATAACTGAGGTTGGCGTATTGCGGTACCCACACAATTTATTACAGCCATTTCCAGTGCGTCGAGCTATTGAAATTAGGTGATTATGCCAATAATCCCCGCGACTTTCAACTGACAGTAGGAGCATGTATATTTGTATATAAATTTGCATCCATTAAATGGATTCACAACCAAACAAAGCGTTCAATTATATGAACTTGAACGTTCAAATGAACAGTTGGCATACACATTGTACCGTGCACGTGCATCTGATTCATTTGTCAAACTAAATGGGTACAATGTGTGAAGCACATTTCTTGTGTCCTCCGCCGTGAAATAGCTGGAAAGGTGTTCAAAGCGGAGTAAAGCCTTACTCACACACCCATCTGTCAAAACTGGTTACAACAATTGACATTGATTGCGAATGACTTAAATATGCGGTAACATAAATCCGTAGCCAAGACACATTATGAGAACAACACTAATCAGGTGAGAATGAGTTCTACCACGTACCATCAAATCTACAGTGTAACAGTTTTTTCTCGTGTTTATCGAGCGGGGCACTTGTAACCGTTGATAATCTGGTTGTAGGGCAGGCCTGGGCAGATGATGGAACAACGGACGCCATTTTCTGGATTCTCTGATTCGGAGGCAATGACCTCTTGGCACAAACAATTGTTTACCAGGTCCGGCAGACTGCTGAAGTGACGACCTTTGAACTCCAATTCCAGACTGAAAGGGTGCATGGTCACAGCCTCGTCAGGGTGACCCTGCGTGAAAAACAGTACGTCAGAAACAGGTCGTCAGAAACAGAAACATGGCACCAGAGGATGTAAGGAACTTAAAGATTATTTAGAAAAATCAATCCTAGTTATACCATTCATATGAATGGTAACGAATGATTGGCCATGTCCGGACCAAGGTTAGAAAAGATACCCAGCATATATTACTTGTTGATGCGACTAACGTTTGTGGTCAGATTCAGTGACTCTGTTCATTGCGTCACGGTACCCCGACCAGGGCGGTGCTTACATCAACCAGTGTTTTGTCTGGCCCAAACTTCATTATTCGTAGGCTGACGTTATACAGTCGGAATATTTCTGACTACAGTGCGAGGTAAGAACAACTGATTGGGGATGAAGATAGGTCTGTCCTGCAGTCACTATATATTGTTGCCTTTTTATAATAAACACTAACATGTTCCAGAAACAAACTAAAAAACATCATTTGTCCTCGGGTGTTTCCAAAACAAACATTCTTTGGCTCCGTTCACAGAAAAAATCCTGTTATGAAGCAATAATTGAAAGAATATCCTGCCTCCGACAAAAATGTCCCAAAAGATCCAGCAGTCAGTTGCCTTGACGACCCTACCTTGATTTGGAAGTGTTCGATGGTGTTGTCCAGCATCACCAGGCCAAGGGCAAAGCACCCAGCGTCCCCTTCTGTCACACTCATTCTGAGACGTTACAAGAAAGGACATGTCAGAGGTCTCGACAAACAACATGTACGTGAAGGCGTAGTGTATGCGATCACTGAACCAATGCAGGCGTCTAACAGCTGCCACTGGCTTTAATGTCAGTCATAAGCCTTCGCAGGGCAAAAGAGCATAACCAAAACAAACTGAATACGCCAAATTAATTATTCCTAAATGTATGTACAATTAACAATGCATGAAAAAAACATAGATTAATTGAAATACGTACTGCCTTTTGAATATGTTTTTATCTGAATTTTATCATTTTCTTAAATCGGAGAACAAATACTTCTAATGGCTTTGTAACATAATGTTAAATTTGCACGTAGAAGTTGTAACTACAAATTGATACTGAAGTAACGTCTATATTACAATGATAGCATTTCACCTACGGGGTAGGTGAGCATATATATATATATATATATATATATATATATATATATATATATATATATATATATATATATATATACTGATCAGCATTGAAAACGCACCACCATGAAAATGGATGTATTTTTATCCGCGCGTAAGTCATATGAAAATATATAAGTGAATGAGTAATATACGACGTTCTGGACGAAGCATGAAGAAGAACAGCTCTTCAAAACACTTTCCTAATTTTTTTGTGAGCGACATCGCAAAAACGGAACAAATTGCGTGCACATCATGGAAAACGTGTTTTGTTTTACGGCAAGCATGCAGAATAGGGCTATAAAAGACAGACTTTTAAAAGCCACATCACTTGTTGCTGCAGACGTAAAGGGTACTGACACAAGAAAATCCAAGATTAACAGCAGAGGAACGTGAACGTGCCTTGGGCACGCTTCAAGTTGGTACGTCAAGTAGAGTCGTTGCACAACGGTTTCAATGCCATCATTCAAAAGTCCTCAGGCTACTGAGCAGATACCAGCAGACAAGAACCACCAGAGATCGATCACGTCCGGGTCAACGTCGTGTAACTACACCACGTCAGGATCGCCATATTGTTCGTCGGCATCTTCGTGATCGTACACTTCCGGCTACCAGGACTGTAGCAACCGTACAAGGCCGCCGGAGTTTGATCAGCGCTGACACCGTACGTCGACGTCTACGCTACGTGCTCGACGTCCATATGTTGGACCCATACTCACTGATCGACATCGAAATGAACGTCTGCGTTGGGCCAAAAGGCATCGTCATTGGAGATTGCGGCAGTGGCATGGTGTGCTGTTCTCTGATGAGTCCCGTTTTCATTTACGGAATGCTGACGGTCGACTGCGAGTGTGGCGTCGACGTGGAGAACGTTACCACAATGACTGCGTTGTACAGACAGATCGATGGGGGGAAGGGAGTGTCATGGTGTGGGCCAGCATCAGTCATAGCCATCGAACAGAGCTCCATGTTTGTCGTGGAAGAGTTAATGCCCTTTACTACAGGAATAACATATTGGCAAATCACGTCATCCCATTCTTTCATCGGCATCAGGATATGCACACCTTCCAGAGCGCACACAGCACGGCTAACCACCCGAACACGGCCATTTTCAATTACACCTTCGACTTTCGAGGAGTGCTCGCAAGCGATCTAATAAGTGTCGTGAGTTTGGTTTTGCGATCAATATTCCAGCAATAAACACCAGAAATTGGGGATGGGGAATCGAACCTAGGACCTCAGAGTGACGAGCGAACGCCTTTACCCAACGGACCTCATGTTAGGACACACCGTGAAGGTTCCTAGTTAGAGCAGGCCCTCTGCAACGTATACGGAGCGTAAGATGCGACTACATGGATCGGATGGTACGGCTTGGCCACTTGCTTTGATTACGTGTCATTGAACCCTGTCGGCGGGTTTGTTGCTCTAAATATCGATTGTCTGGTCGATTATATGGATTGTCTGATCCAGAATGGATTATTTACAGACCGCCGTCATTCAGCTGGAATATTGTTGAGTGCGGCGATGAACAACAAAGAAACAAACGAAATATGTGGGAAAAAAATAAAACATTTTTGTCACGAAGAGTTAGTGAGTTGGGTGTAACGACACTTTCACCAGTATTCCAGTTATATCACGGCTTAATTTGGGAGGAAAGCTCGAAGTGAGGAAGGTCTCAGACTAGACTAACATCTAGTTTCTGAAATGAACATATCGTTACATAACAGTTGTTCAGTTATCTTAATAAAAATATAATTAAAGGGAGACCAGTGACTCTCATTTTCAGATGCAGTAATCTAGACTTGCCAAACATTATAGACTTGTATGGGCTGTATTTGATATATATTTGTATCAGGGCCTGTAAGACAGACTAGTCTCAGACGTTTACCTCTTTGGTGAAACCTACCACATGGGTATGGTGTTGTCATACCAAGGAACATAATCTGGGCGAGTCGGGATTCGAACCCACGAACATAAATTCCCGGCGTGCCCAAGAGACGTAACTCTGCACCGCGAATTGCGGCGCCTAATGAGACGAATGGCGCACCTGTTCCCCCTGTTATAAAGAGTCACTATTCGGCTGCTTTGGGGGTGGACCTGATATGGATGTAGCATCTACCTGATGAGGAACGTCCCTGGTTTCTGGTCCTTCAGCTTTGTCTCCGCCTCCGAGCGTGTCATGTATCCCCCGAACCAGCTGACAATGAGAGACAAGTCAGAGATTGTTGTTCAAATCAGAAAGAAGAATGTCATCTCAAGGGGAGAGCTACAAACGTACACACTGGAATAAGCATGTGGTGATTCGTGGCTCCAAAAGCCTCAACAACTAATGAGGTTCAAGTGGTTGCAGTGTGTGAGCTGGCTGACCTGGGTCATCGTGGCCCAACGGCATGACTTGCTCATGCCATCAACCATCGGGTTACATGTCACAATACCTTAATGGCCTATTTCCAGTCCGTCATCTTTGACGTTAAACCACTCAATAACTAAGACTCGCTTAAGTATGCATGATACTTTCGAGTGGTCGTTCGCTCAAAGAACTTATATACTATTCAAAACAAGTTAATTAAGGACCACCAAGTTCTCTTATATTCCAAGTTCATCGTTCATGCTATGACATTTTAACTGCAATAATATGAAAGAATCAGGAGGTCCTTAACTATTTTGAATAGTATAGTTCATGTGTACAGTGAACGCCGTGAACACAAGCCCATACTTCCTCCAGTGTATCATATCTCCATTCTTGTATTTACAATAAGAGAATGGAACGTTCATGTCCTTAGATCATACCATATCTTGGACTTCTTGTCTTTAGATTTCTGGAACGAGTTTTCGACAAGTTGTTCTATCTGAAAGAAACAAACACTATCCTTGATACAACTACCATTTCTTTACAAATAATAAAACATTTTCATTTGCACAATCTTGATGGAATGTGCATCTTAGCTCAACAGTTAGCAAAGCCGTGCATTGGGAGACTATTGCCAGTAGGACAGGACACAGGGCCCCGTTTAACGAAGCAATCGTAGCGCTGAGTCGATCGTAACTCCAATACTGTAACACAAACTGACGTAAAGCTATGATCGCTTTGTGGAACGGGACCGCAGATGTAACCGTCACGCATTGCATCAACATTGTCATCACTTGCTCACCCTCGATTATCCAGTTTAAAGCAACAACGATGAGTCTGCTTTATGGAGTCATCGAGGTTTCGGGGCGGTCGGGTAGCCTGGTGGTTAAAGCGTTCGCTCGTCACGCTGAAAACCCGGGTTCGATTCCCGACATGGGTACAATGTGTGAAGCCCATTTCTGGTGTCCCCCGCCGTGATATTGCTGGAATATTGCTAAAAGCGGCGTAAAATCAAACTCACTCACTCACTCACTCATCGAGGTTTCAGTGAACAGTCATGTCTTTAGGATCATACCATCTCTTGGAAGCCTCTGTTGCCAATAGGAATATACATAAAGTACAGGACAGTTGTAAACGTCATGCATTGCTTTTAGAATTTGACCGTTACTTGCTCAACATCGATTATCCAGTGTATCATATCACCATTGTGTGTTGATATATACCCTGTACCAATTCGCAACAATATTAATATTATTACTTTCGTGAATTCGAAATACGCGATGGTACAAATAGCCGTCCAATCATATTCCACTCACAAGCGACAATCCAAGTGTGCGAATTTATTGGAGATGGTAACCTTAATTCCTAAAAGAGGCTATGGTAGCGAGATATGATACACTTGATTATCGAGGACATTACCTGTTTGACCACCACACATCTGTCCTCCTCTGCTCTGAACGGACCGAAAAATCTTATCAGTCTGAGGAAATCTTCAACAGCTATCTCTCCAAGATCTGAAACGACAAAACAGTACATGAGACAGAGCTGATAGACATAAGATTACAAAAAAGATTAAAACTGTAATAACGTCCGCCCGGAGAGCGGAAGGTCTGGGGTTCGATCCCCGCCCGCATCATACAAAATGACGTTTCAAGATACCTGTTGTTACCCAGCCTGGCGCTCGGCATTAAGGGGCTAAAACAATGACTGGTTCTCTAGGAGACAATATACTGTGTCTGAGTGGGGTATTCATGTTAAACTGCGACATGATACGTTCCCTAGTGGGTAAGCACTATAAAATTTCCATAGTCCTGACTAGTACAAGCAGACACACACACACAAACCCCACTTCACTTCACCTCACCCCACAATAAGCGAATCAAACGGGACGCAACTCTGGGTGAAGTGATGCTGGAATGGTTGGTTTTAACTGCGCCATTGTTGAATTACCTTGATACTCCACACCGAGGAGACATTTAAAGATGTTCATCACTCGCTTCTTAACTAGCGCCTGTTCTTCAGGGAAGTCCTCTCGAAATGTGTCTATGAAATCTTTCCAGATCTAAAACAGGTTATAACAATATCATCATTTGATTCTTGTTTAACGCCGCACTAAGCAATATTTCAATAATATGACGATGAATGGAAATAATCAAGTCAGGACCAGACAATCCAATATTTCTTAATATGAGTAACTTAATAATACGGAGAACGATGACACGCAAGGAACAAAGTCAGCGACCCTGATGACCAGCAGGTTTGGAAGGAACCTATTCTTACCCTTCAATCCCATGTGTGCACAGTGTCATAACGTTGCACGTGTAACTATAGGCAACAGAAATGTATGTACGCATGCAGCTGTATACTGTACGGTTTGACTCCTACTCTTAAACAAGAAGCACAGGGAAAGTCGAGAAAGACTAGGCCCCTCAAACCCGGTGCTTGTCAAAGAAGGTTATTGAGACCCGGTGTTGATTAAAACAAAGCGATCGTAGCGATACTCCCATAGTATGATGCAGACCAACAGCGCAACGACCACTTCGCATATGAATCCAACGATCGAGCTCAGTGCGTCATAATTAGCGCTGAGACTGTTGTACGTTTATGTTAAACGGTCGTTAAGGCGGAGTTGAGACTACGATCGCTTTTCGAAACGGAGCCGGTCCTGACTGATCTATTTACAGACCGCATTGATCAGGGTGCCGTTGTACAAAGCGGTCTTAGCGCTAAGAGGATCATAACTCCAATACATTGCTATTGTTATATTGCTATAACATTGACTTCATCACTGTCCTGCAAGGATCTTCCGACACAACATCAACTGGCTTTGTACATACAACATGCGTTTCCAAGTGAATTGTTACCTTGACTTTGTATCTTATGAAATATGTTATGTAACTCCATGTATATGGGCCTGTGGCCTTTCATACAATAAAGAATTGAATTGAATTGAATACCTTAACATAGGTTTACGACAGTCGTGGCGCTGATGTTTTAATACAGTAGTGATTAGTAACGAGTATACTCAGAACTCGCTTCTCTGTGAGAAATGAAATGTTTAACTAACTTAATAACCGAAAGCGGCAATTGATAAACAATGATAAAAATCGAAGACTTTCTTGTTTAGAGCTACCATGGTTGCAGCGGCATAACGGACATCACCAGGGATACAGAAGGCAACACTAGGTTCTCACCCTCCTGCAACACACGCTGCTCGGAATCCTCTCCCAGAAGGTCCTGCTCTCCGGGCACAGGAACATCTCCTCTGCCAGAGTACACTTCCTACCTGGAGAAGACAACAAACTACATGTAAACTGCCGGACACAGGAACTTCCCCTCTGCCAGAGTACACTTCCTACCTGGAGAAGACAACCAACTACATGTAAACTGCCGGACACAGGAACATCCCCTCTGCCAGAGTACACTTCCTACCTGGAGAAGACAACCATCTACATGTAAACTGCCGGACACAGGAACATCTCCTCTGCCAGAGTACACTTCCTACCTGGAGAAGACAACCAACTACATGTAAACTGCCGGACACAGGAACATCTCCTCTGCCAGAGTACACTTCCTACCTGGAGAAGACAACCAACTACATGTAAACTGCCGGACACAGGAACATCTCCTCTGCCAGAGTACACTTCCTACCTGGAGAAGACAACCAACTACATGTAAACTGCCGGACACAGGAACTTCCCCTCTGCCAGAGTACACTTACTACCTGGAGAAGACAACCAACTACATGTAAACTGCCGGACACAGGAACATCTCCTCTGCCAGAGTACACTTCCTACCTGGAGAAGACAACCATCTACATGTAAACTGCCGGACACAGGAACATCTCCTCTGCCAGAGTACACTTCCTGCCTGGAGAAGACAACCAACTACATGTAAACTACCGGACACAGGAACATCCCCTCTGCCAGAGTACACTTCCTACCTGGAGAAGACAACCAACTACATGTAAACTGCCGGACACAGGAACATTTCCTCTGCCAGAGTACACTTCCTACCTGGAGAAGACAACCAACTACATGTAAACTGCCGGACACAGGAACTTCCCCTCTGCTAGAGTACACTTCCTACCTGGAGAAGACAACCAACTACATGTAAACTGCCGGACACAGGAACATCTCCTCTGTCAGAGTACACTTCCTACCTGGAGAAGACAACCAACTACATGTAAACTGCCGGACACAGGAACATCCCCTCTGCCAGAGTACACTTCCTACCTGGAGAAGACAACCAACTACATGTAAACTGCCGGACACAGGAACATCTCCTCTGCCAGAGTACACTTCCTACCTGGAGAAGACAACCAACTACATGTAAACTGCCGGACACAGGAACATCCCCTCTGCCAGAGTACACTTCCTACCTGGAGAAGACAACCAACTACATGTAAACTGCCGGACACAGGAACATCTCCTCTGCCAGAGTACACTTCCTACCTGGAGAAGACAACCAACTAAACTGCCGGGCACTTGAAAATTGGATTTGACCAACACATTAGAAACGTGCATATAAAAGCGTTACTAGGCTCTAAACAGTTACCGAAACACGGCAAACTTAAGGTTCAAAATAGAACTGTGATACCCGTGTCAAATACATCACCATCGAATAACCATTTCTTGTTTGTTTCCTTTTTACCCATCATAAAACATGGACACAGTAAACTGTTGCCGAAACACTGTAAACTCAAGGTCTAAAATAGAACTGTGAAACCCGTGTCAAATACATCCACATCGAATAACCATTTCTTGTTTGTTTCCTTTTTACCCATCATAAAACATAGATGTGTACTTGTTTATGCCCTGCAGTTTATGTGAAATTTGAATTTACTAGGATTTAAACAAACGTATGTTAAAGGCATGTTATACTCTCCATTTTAAGAAAATACCTAATTAGCTAATTAGCAAGTATCTCATTAACTAAATCATATCATTTAGATTATCCGGATTTATTGTATTCTTTTCACTTCTTTGGACATTCTTACCCCATAGTCAACTAAGGGACCACATTTTGCATGAAGAGTTGCGTCCCTTAGATGTGCCAGGAACCTATGATTATGTGTTGGAATCCCAGATTCGCCCTGATTATGTTGCCAGGTTCATGAACATTATACCCGTGCTCGCGGGTTTCACCAAATTGGTAAACATCTAATTATCTTGTGCTTTCCTTCCACGTAAGGCTGACACGCCGTCATATAACTGTAATGCTGTTCAAAGCGGCGTTAAACCAACTCTCTCACTTACATGGGGTCTCGGTGATGCTGCCGAATCCAGATTCTACGACGGACTGACCCAGCGACCAGCTCCTGTCCGACATGTCCGAGGCGTCGTCCCACTGAGCTGCCAGCTCCTCGCTCATCATCCTCCGGTATGCCGAGTCGTCTGGCTCGGCGTTATCCGCCCCCTCCTGGAATCCGTCGGCCATTGTGCAGTAGTCGAGCTGGGATAGTATAGCTGCAAACAAACAAACAAGATATATTTCACAATAGAATTAAAAACAATAATACATTATTGTGACAATGTTACCAAAGTCGGATTTTGCTGTGTGGTATTGCGCCCCTTAGTCGCACCAGGATCCGCTGATCAGATCCCAGGATCGTGCACATCTACGACTTGCTTCACTGTTGACCTTCGTGCTACCAGGTGTCTTACTCCCTGGTCCTACATTGATGTGACACGCCGTGAGATAACTGAAATATGTACAAAGTGATGCAGACACCAGCCCATTCGTTGGAGGGGTTGCATGTTTGCACACTCTACTGCTAACACATGCCAAAAATCCCAACGATATCCCCATATCTAACATATTTAGCCAGGTCGTTGAGTTTAACGCCGCTCTCGACGTGTTAACTCCCCAGGGAGATAAGAATGAATATCGAGTTAACGGATAATAATAATGTATCGCCAAGGGCATTCACTTGGATTAAAATGGACCTGTTTTCCTTTTGTAATAATGAATACACAATTGAAGAAGGAAATTTGAGATTACAACACACATTTATATTGCTCAGTGAGGAAGGACATTTGAGATACAACCCACATTTATATTGTTCAGAGCGCCGTTAAACAACAAACAAACAAAACGTGTTATCGAAGGATGAGGCTTGTTATAATACAAATATCTTCTTCCTTGTTCCGTTTTGTGAGACCCGGGAAATAGTGTTTCTCGTACTAAGCAATCACCCCCAGCATAATATATATATATATGCTATAGTATTATAGTATTATCAACATGTGTCTAACGGCAAATCGGCTTCATCTTGATGACAGAAAGTGTGATAGTTCCAAACTATTCCTGAATATTTGACGTGTTTTGATGACACATCGTAATGTCCGTCCAAACACAATCTGTATAGCTGATCAAGGAAGTTTAATTTTTGTTTCGTCGATTCAGGAAGTTGTCAAGTGTTTCTGTGTTTTTTATTGAAACTAAGTAGGTTTAATTGCAGTGTGCAGTTCAGTGGGGACGATTGTGGCGTCCAGCTTGAACAAAACTGAAACATTGTCTCGGGGTCAGTGTAACCATTAACAGCGGGTTGACGCACACCATGGCACAATGTGTCAGCAGTCAAACTGTGGTTGAACGACACCCTTTGAACGGTGCAATCTCGCTCGGACTGTCAATAGGCCCGAGCTTCACTCGCCTCGAAGTTCAAATGATGTGATCACTTACCTGGTAGTAACTGTGAAAACAACGTTTTCCTGTTTTGGCAGAAATGCTGGTTAGTTTAGGTATCACCATGAGACGCCAATGTATGTATATATGTTTGTGATCTATAAATATACTCAGGGATATCCTAAGTATGTGACGTCACGTTACGCACGGCGTGTCACTAGATGGAAATCCCTTTCATCACTCGGCATGGTACGAGTTGGTCCCGAATGTAGGAAAATAGTACATGTATGGTGGATAAACGATGAACGTATTCACGTAGGCGTTCTTTAATTCCCACATACACTTGTACGGGGGAAATTGATGCTCTCCAATTCCGTGTGAAGTTCGCGAACAAGTGAGGAGATATTTGATGTTTTCCCAATTAAAGATCAGACAAATGTTCAATTTCGGATCGCTGACTGCTGGCTTGATAAAGGGAGATATGTGAATCGAATTCGTGCCCATCTTGTGTAAAAGTTTCCTGGCTTTGTTGTCTTTTCGAGCTGACGTGGATAAGCATTTCACATTCACAGCCCTCTTCCTTGGAGGGGGCAGACGCATTAACTATTTCAGGGATGAGTGAGTAAGGTTTTACGGCGTTTTTAACAATATCACTGAAGAGGACACCTGGCTGGGGACTCGAACCCACGCCTTTGGCGTGACGAAAGAACACCTAAACCACAAGGCTACCCCACAAGTAAAACAGGAATGAAGTGTATGTTTGCTATTTTCGCAACTTGAGTTGGCGCAAAATTCGATTAGCGAGGATCTGGTGGCTACAGGGTGCCACTCTACCCGTAATGGTATTCCCTTGATCGCTTGTCCTAGACGCGATCATAACTGGGCCACTGTTTGATAACTGAAATGGTGCGACGCAAAACAACATGCATTCATTCATTCACCTTGTGGGATAGGTCTTCAGCAACCCATGCTTGTCGTAAAAGGCGACTATGCTTGTCGTAAGAGGCGACAAACGAGATCGGGAATATTGCTGAGTGTGGCGTTAAACAACAATATAACAAACAAACCTACCCACTGATTCATTCCAGGTAATACCCACGCAACCATCTTATTCCGAAGTATTCAAGATAACCACACACATCTGTAACTTGACTTGTCCTGTGGCCATGAGTGATTTACGCGTCATACCCGTCATTGCTCTGTCGAATATTGACGTCTGGGTGTGGATAGAAGCCTGCGCACGAGTGATGGTCTATCTGTACGTTTGACAGACCATTAACACACAATCGTAGTGAATACAAAGGCCAGCTCTCACTATCCATAACATTCATCCTGTTTGATTCTCTCTAATTTGGTTAATGAGAACACATCCACCATCCTCATAATATTGAGAAATGCAGAACAGCATGTTAAACGTATTGCAGAAAATGGTTGACTGATAACTTCGGAGCATCAAATAGAACGACTTGACCTAAATACATTAAAAGGTGTTTTTTTAACATAATACTCATCCACATTGCCAACAATGTTGGAGGGATTTTGTCAAGGTTTCGCAGAAGTCCTTCTCTTGGTTGTCCCAAAATGTCTACTGCTGCTATAACGTCATTGTTCGAGTCGAAATGGGTTCTGTCAAGGGCTTTCTTTCAGGAGCCAGAGATCAGGAAAATAAGGTTCTGTGCTGAAGGAAATCAAAGCCACACTCGAGGATTGTAGCCATTTCAATGACCGGTTTGTACACTGGCGCATTGTTCTGATGGAAGAGCGCACATTTTCTCAGCTTCCCACGTCTCTTAGTCTTATTTCGTCACCCTCGACATCCCAGAGCAAAGAGGCCATAACCCTTTCGGCTGATGGAATGTCTTTACCTTCAATGGTGGTTGTGATGTCAAATGCTCCCTTGCTCAGAGCAGGAGCTAGGTTATCACGAGACTGGTGCGTTTTCATCAGTTATTGGAGGCTTTGGAAACCACCGAGCTGATACTTTTTCATTCTCAAAGTTCTGTGATAATAGAAAGTACTCTCTCCTGGGAAATGCCAACTGAGCTAGCAATATGACATCATATCGTGGATTCTCTGGATCATTTTTGGTGTCGCTGACGTCAGAAGCCTTGCAGAACGGGGGTCGTCTTCAAGACTCTCCCTCATTCAGGTGGCATCTGAAGGGTCATCCTTCCCTAGTGGTGTAGTCATATCTTATGTATGGCCTTTGAGGTTCATCCCTTTTTCTGCAAGTACTTGATCACTTCACGCCCAAATGTCACCCCTGCTCATTTTGCTAAATTGTCACATCGAAACAATTTGCTCATTTGACTCACGAATTTTGGGGAATACATCTATGACACCATGTAATGTCCAAAATATTTCACAATTACGCAATTCCTTATATGTGAGGCTCAGAACTTATCACTCAACCCTCGTAGAGCCAAGGTACTGTTGCTCACGCGATACACTCAGAGGGTGCTTACAGTTAACGGCAGTGACATATTTATCAAGCAAGTATATGACGTGTGGCTGCTATGGCGATAATACACTTTTGAAAAATCTATGTATTCTATTTCTAAATTATTTAGTATATGTGTTGTTAGTAATAGATCTCAAGATACGTGTACATGATTTTTGTCACTTAAACCATTGGTCCAGGTGAGCTAAAACATGATGGTTAAAAATGAAAGGATCCCGCAGGAATAAGGTTCATCTGAAGACAAATCTCTGACATTAATATCATACCGGACATACTGTGTTTCAGATGTGAGTGAGTAAGGAGCTTCTCACATTTTACTCGTGTGGGGAACGAACCTAAGACTTCGGCGTGACGAGCGAACGTTTCAACCACTAGGCTACCCCACCGTCCCCCGGGTACATGAATAATGTATACAGTTCTAGTTATAAATGTATAGATACACAACTCAAGGGTTTCGGAATAAGAAACAGTCAAACACCTTTGTGTCAAACGTATGTAAGTCTCGGAGTAAAAGCTTGGTCTCTGCGTATTCCTTATTTATTTACAGTAAAGTACGTTTATAACGAACACGCTTATAACGAACTGACCGATATAACGAACTTATTTTTTAGTCCCGACCATTTGTTGTATAAATGCTGTATATATGCCTATAACGAACTACGGTTATTACGAACTAAAATTAGTTGTCCCTTGGAGTTCGTTATAACCGTAGTTTACTGTATCAGTTTCGGTTCTGTCGAACCTCGGATACCTCGAAGTCCCTTCAAAAAGGTGTTTGACTGTGTATGAAATGCATCATAACTCACATAACACATTTGACATAACATACAATTGATAAACAAAATTAATCCTTACTTGTAAAACTTGTGATGAACAGCTTAAGCCAAATCAAACACCGGCCACAAACACCACAGGTGTTGTATAACAGGCGAGTCACAATGACATATCTGGTTATGCACACAAAAGCTATGGAAAAGATTGTGTCGTAAGGAAAAAAATCATGCATGGCTGTGTCGGGCTACATGGGCATTGATAAAACAATGAAGATAAGGTTCCGTGAGCTAGTCCTATCCTTAAACCTCGTTTAACGATCTCAGCGTATCTGCAGATAGTGTAACATCCGGGTAGAGATTATTGTATTATTCAACACAGTCTTTGACAGAGTGACCTTTTCGCATTCGGAAACATTCGGTTTATTCCGCAACTCCATCCATCCTTGGGCAGCAATGACGTGTTGATACTGCAGGGTTACGGTGTAAGCCGAATTTACCTATCGATCACCCAGGACAAACTGAATGAGTGAATGAGTGGGGTATTACTCTGCTTATAGCAATGCTCCAACAGTATCACGGCGGGGGACACCAGAAATGGGCTTCACACAATGTACCCATGTGAGGAATCGAACCCGGGCCTTCAGCGTAACGAGCGAACGCTTGTACACTTAGGCTACCACCGTCTCCACATAGTCTGTACAAAGTGTCGAGTGAATTGAGGACATGTTTATTGTATAAACGACATAGAATGCACAGTTCATGTTGAGCAGTATTCACACAGGGTATCGACTGCCAGATTGTGTCGTGTTAAAATATATAGTCACGTGAACTAGTGAAACTAGTGGATCCCGTTCCAGTATGGATTCCTCCAAGAGTGGATCTTGCGTTAGACTATGGCAACGTCTTTACCTTAAGGTGTTAAGTTGTCCGTGGGCATTATTTAAGTTTCACCAAAACTGCATGTAAAATTATGATAAATAAAGCAGAGAATATACTCTTTCGGACAATGTAAAGACATGCATATCTTACCCGATGAATATGGCCGAAATATTGACTCGAAATAAAGATGTAGGTCTTCGTTACAGTCGGTTCTTGTGAGTGGGCTGCGTGTGGTAGCCACCATGAGAGGGAAAATAAAGTGGTGAAAATATGTTTAACCTTATCGTAAATAGAATTCAATAATGCTCTCGTCCACAGGCAGAATGTGTTGATCCTATGAGGTCATATTACAGTTTATCTCTAAGTTGTTATATGGCAGTGTATTTTATTGTTGAACAGTGATTCTGTTGGGATTCGGTAGACGTTCATTGCATTGTGTTTGGACAGTAGTCAGTCGTCAGGAAGTTACTACTATATTTAGATGCTAGTGTGGTGTGTAAACTTCCGGTCCGGTATATCGCGGACAGTGATAGTATGTTATGAAAACACGCTAGTCATCTGCAATTAATGCTAAACGATTGCTCGGTTATCTGTAGGAAGTATTCCTCCTTGGCACGGGGCTGCAGAGGTCGAAGGCGCTACAATTCTCTGCCTAAGTAGCGTTCCTTAATCGTGACAGGATCCGCATGTTTTGGGTTCGAATCCCATATATATTTGTCCTGATTATGATCATTGATTTTCAACACATTTCCCTGCTCGTTAGTTTCACAAAGTGAAAGATATACGACCTACACCATCATGGGATTCCATCCCCTGTTACGCTGACACACGTCGGATGAATGAAATACTGTTCTAAGCGGCGTCTTCACGGCTCCAGCTGCTATTACATGTTTACATGATTACCTTATACATTCTGCCATGAGGTGAAATGGGGTTTAACGTTTCGTTCAATAATATAACACTTGTACAACGACGTGCATGTGTGTGTGTGTGTGTGTGTGTGTGTGTGTGTGTGTGTGCTTGTACTAGTCCGTACTATACAGTATACTGTCTCAGAGCCGACCAGACTTTGTTTTTACCCTTTAATGCCAGGGACGTTGATGCCTACTTAGAGCTTGAAACCATTGTCCGCATGTTGTGGCAAGCCCGGTCACCAGGCTTCAACCCTTTCGAACACATGTGCAACGAGCTGCAGATCGCCATCTCACGACTCCCTGTCCTTCCAGCAATTCTACAGGAACTCGGCAATGTCGTTACTGAAGAGTGGAACAATCGTCCCTTGGCAACCTAACAGACACTTACTGAGAGAATGAGACGACGGTGATCGCATTTCGTGGATCGCAAACTGAGAGATGAATTTGTTTCATGATTTTTTTACGTTTCGGTTTCTTGATAACCTGTAACTCCCCTATTACAATTGGAATCAAAGAAGAGGGCAAGGCGGGCGAGTCGTCTAAGGCGCAGCAATTGGCTGTTCGGCTACGCCCGAAACCTACGATCGTGGGCTCGAATCCCGGTTCGCAGAGATTATGTTTTTGGGTTTATCAGCACCATACCCGTGTTCGTGGGGTTCACCGAAGTGGTAAACATCTGAGACCGGCATCACTTTGGTGTTTCCTCCCACATTAAGCTGACACGACGCGAAATACAGTTCAAAGTGAGTGAGTGAGTGAGTATAGTTTTACGCCGCTTTTAGCAATATTCCAGCAATATCACGGCGGGGGACACCAGAAATGGGTTTCACACATTGTACCCATGTCGGGGATCGAACCCGGGTCTTCGGCGTGACGAGTTAACGCTTTAACCACTAGGCTACCCGACCGCCCCCAGTTCAAAGAGGTGCTACACCCAACTCTCTTACTCACTCACTGATTCAAGGGAGCAACTGACAGTTATAAACATTAGTCTAGTTGCAGTATTTATATACGCACTATTTTGCCGTGATATAACTGGAATACTGTTAAAAGCGGCGTTAAACCCAACTCACACACTCAACTGCTATGCCCTACTCGTCTTCAAGGACAGAAATACCGTGTCCTTGACCCTGCCTATACGCTGCAGCATCATCTTCCGTCACACTCTGTTCAAACGCCGCTATCTCTTCGTCTCAGAATTGTCACCGACATGTCCAGTTTGGGTATGGACAGTCTTCGAGCGAGGAACGTCAGTGTGGTTTTGTGTGTTAGCTGACTGAGCGAAATTATAAGTTTGATTTGTTTGCGTAGCCTTGTCTTTCGTTTCCCCCTCAAGCATACTGTTAGTATTGAACGCCATCTAGAATGATTGTATGAAAGAAGACATTACCGAATGCATACGTTTGTGCGCGATAACAAGCTTAAGAAGCTAATGCAGAAGAAGGAGAAGCATATCACCACCACCCCACCAACCACCACCGCTCCCCTCCACACACACACACACACACACACACACACACACACATGCCGTAACCGGGTTAGCGAAGCGTCATACAATGTATATGCAATCGCCTGTTAGTCTAAATCGGCCCCTACCACACCAGTTGATACTATACTGCCTGCAACTTACATGTACGAGTACTTCAGAATGTTTTCTTCAATCTCCTGTTCCCTGTAAGCTTCTCTTGTCTCAAAATTATTCTAACTTCGGACCTAGTTCGCAATTCGAATAATCTCCGAACGCAGATCGGATTTCTCCGAGAATCAATCCAAAGCGATTTGAAAAACCATATATCGATCTTCACAGTGCGTTAAGTTGGTGAATGACAGACACATGACCTGTTGTTACGAATGTAGGGATTGGGTTAACGCCGTAGAAAGATACGTTCTCAGATTACCAGGATGTGTGAATGACTTCCGGGTACGTGTGCATATTCGTTATTGTCCGACAGTATGACACCGCAGTGGAAACAACAACCCTTCCCTTATGTCTAACAACTGTTTATCTCGAATCAATCGGGCAATCCAGTGTTGTACTTGTGAGGTCAGGTGAAATGGAATGTAACGTCACGCGTCGCGTTGCTGTTTGTACTAGTCCGGATTTAAAATGTCGGTTTTATAGTGCTAGTGCCTGAAATATCATGACACAGTATACTGACTCCAAGACGGCTAGTCCTTGTTTTATCCTCTTAAAGCCGAGCACCAGTCAGGGAAACAACAAGTACCATATTTTGTATGACGCGGCCAGGGGATCGAACCACCGACCTTCCGCTCTCCGGCATACGCTCTATCCACCTGACAATTCGGTCTGTTACACATGTACACATTTCCTGAAGCATTTAGTAGCATGAGTGAGTGAGTATGATTTACCCAGCTGTATTTCAGCTAAATCGCGACAATAAATATCAGGAAGGGGTCCCAACATTGTACGCAGTTGAAACCCAGCCGGGTCTTCGGGATGACGAGCTGCGCATTAACCACCAGTCTACCCCGCAGCCACTATATCACAACCTTGGTGGAGAATTATCTTTCATCACATTGCATAACTTGGACTTATAGTTCCAGAATGGAAATTAATTCATCCATTTAGAAAGAGAGTGGAGTAGAGCTGATGGCGAATTTGAATCCACACGGGACATTTACAACATCACATGACTTAAGTTTCTTGGCAGGGGCAAGGGTAGTCAAATGCTTTAAAGAGTCGCAATTTGCATTCATTCGTCTCAGGCGATTCGCTGTGCAGAGTTGCGTCCCTTTGGGTTCGAATCCCGGTTCGCCCCGATTATGTTTCTAAATTTGTCAGCACCATACCCGTGCTCGTGGGTTTCACCGAAGTGGTAAACGTCTGAGACCTGCGTCACTTCGGGCGTTCCTCCCACATTAAGCTGACACGCCGTGATATGACTGGAATAGTGTTAAAAGCGGCGTTAAACCCAAGTTACTCACTCACTCATTTCTTGTAGCCGTTGATGATCGTCAAATGACGAGAGGGTGCCGCCCTTTGCTCAGTTTCCAATACGGTTTGCATACCATGCTTGTTGAAGACGTCCGGCACTACAGTTGTGAAACTTGCATCATTCCGAAACTGCCTTCCTTGTGTATTTAGATGACTATTAACCAAATAACAAGCCAAACAAACAAATTCCTGTTTCAGTTTCATCAATCAAAACGTATCAAGTGACAACTCATTTAAATACCAAATGACGAATATGAACTTTACATCACGAACCCGAGTGAACTTTCACGGGAGATAACTCTTGCGTCCTTCGCTACATGAGCCCCATATCTATTCCCATTCCAAGGTTTCGAAATCGTAACATGATTAATGAATTTCCGAGAATTTGATGAGACTCGAAATGACTTTGAAGGATGCAAATAACGTTATCTGCATCCTACGTTATGGAGTGAATTATTCGACATTGACCATGCCGTGGCCTATTGTATTTCAGAAAATATAGAATAGAAAGTACTTGCATTTCTGTTTATTTAAACATTTGTTTATAACATTTCATATATGGTCTACTTTATCTTACAATTCCCGATATGTTGTTATTTGTTCAGTTTTAGGTTTATTTAGTAATCGTATAGTAAACATGGTGTAAGATGTAAAACTGGGAATGAATTGAAACATATAGTGTTCATATTGTTTGTAAACATGATGGTATTAATTTAACATTTGGGGGAAATTTATTTTATTGTAAATTTATTTTGTTTGCCGTTTATTTTTTCAAATACGGTTGCGGTAGCAAAGATAGGGAGCACTCGAACCTACAATTCGCCATGCAGAGTTGCATCCCTTTGGAGTGCTAGGAACCTGTGGTCGTGGGTTCGAATCCCGGTTTGCCTTGATTATGTTTGTCTAGGTTTGCACAACACCTGTGTGGTAGGTTCCATCAAAGTGGTAAGTATCTAGACCTGCATCACTTCGGGCTTCTCGCTATATCAAGCTGACGCGCCATGATATACTTCAAAGCAGCGTAAAACCCCACTCATGTACACACTCACTCCAAGACCGCCTCCGTGGTCTAGTGGTAGAGCGGCCGCCCGAAGAGCGGGAGGTCCGGGGTTCGATCCCCGGTCGCGTCATACCAAAAGACGTTACAAGATGGTACCCTGTCTGACGCTCGGCATAATGGGCTAAAACAAGGACTGGTCAGCTCGGAATCAGTATACTGTGTCTGAGAGGGGTATTCATGTTAAACTGCGCATGGTATCTCAGTGTGCTAGCACTATAAATCCGAATCAGTCCGGGCAAGTACAAGCAACCACACACACGTGCAATCACGTTGCTATATAAGTGCAATAATCTTGGTGGGAGCGACGTTAAACCCCACCTCACAGAAATCCCTTGTCATCTTGCCAGTAGTTGACTCATAACACGTGTACACTTTTAGCTAATTTGAAGATGAGTTGTTTTTTATAATACCTCAAACAAATGTATGTACGCCGGAATATGACTGATATTTCATCAACTTCCGTGTATGTGTCAGCAAAGGGATAAACAATGAAATATATCTTTAAAGATTTGGTTAAATAATACTGCTTTATTTCACATGGCTGTATGTCGTGACAAAAATGCTTTTTATGATAAATTGGAATAAAATATCACCATCGCCACCGTATACCACGACAACAGGACATGTCATGATTTCAAACAAAGTTCAAGAGATGTTTATCAACATACAGTAAGCTACGCTTATAACGAACGCGCTTATAACGAACTGACTGATATGACGAACGTATTTTTTAGTCCCGGCCATTTGTTGTATATATGCTGCATATATGCTTATAACGAACTACGGTTATAACGAACTAAAATAAATGTTCCCTTTGATTGGTTTGCTGTTAACAATAACACCGGGTGGTTTTGATACCAAGATAAAATTTTGATTTCCTCCTCAAATAACATTAAGGGCGAGATGTGATGCATCCCCGTGTCGCACAACACATGTCAAACTTGTTGTTGTTTTGTAAGTTACAGGATGTGACACCTAGAAGTTTAATTTCAGCAACACAACCAGGATGAGGGATTGTTGGAAGCCTGGGGGAACGTGCAACCACGCCTTCGCCCTTGACCCAAGAAGATTTGTCACCAGCTGGTTTACTGTATGTCTTTAACGTTATGTTGTTTTTTTGTTTGTTTGTTGTGTAACGCCGCACTCAGCAATATTCCAGCTATATGACGGCGGTCTGTGAGATACTCGAGTCTGAACCAGACAATCCTGGGCCTTACATCATGAGAATCAATCTATGCAATTGGGATACGATGGCATGCATCAACCAAGTCGGCGAGCCTGACCACCCGATCCCGCCAGTCGTCTCTTACAACAAGCAGGGGATGCTGAAGACCAGTTCTTACCTGGATCTTTTTGTATGTGTGCGTCCGTAGCAAAACGGCACGGGTCCGTGAAGATCCGGGGTAGAATAGGTCTTCAGCAACCCATGCTTGCCGTAAAAGGCGACTATGCTTGTCGTTAAAGGCGACTAACGGGATCGGGTGATCAGGCTCGCTGACTTGGTTGATGCATGTCATCGATCCCAATTACGTGGATCGATGCTCATGATATTAATCGCTGGATTGTCTGGTCCAGACTCAATTATTTACAGACCGCCGTCATACAGCTAGAATATTGCTGAGTTCGGCGTTAAACAACAAACAAACAAACAGAACACGTGCATTGCTATTGTGTAAATATTACAGAAACGGTTTCCAGATAACATCTAAACTCAGTCATTTTCACAATTAAGTCTTACCTCTACATATTGTATTTAATAAGTCAAAAACTTGAAGTTCACATGAACACGTGATTTCTGAAGGTTTCCCTTATTTTAATTTTTTTCTAACGTAATGCAGATCTACTGGACCGACCGGGGACTTTATCACACCCTGCCCATTACACTACAACGCGCTGTAACTCTTGTCATCTTCAGCGACACGCAGTGTAAATCACACATATTGTTTGCAGACAACAACTAACAAGAAACACATCGTGATGTATGCATGTGACGTTTCCCACAGCAGTGGAAAGAAACAACAGGCTTGCAAATAAATATCGCATGAACAATACACAATGACGACTGATTGTGCATACAAATAAATACTATAGAATTGTAAAACACATGGAAATAATTGTAAAGAAAACACATATCCGTTAGCTTTATAATAATTACATAAACATTGATTCCTCCTTCCAAATATCCCGCTCCACCTGTCCAGCAATATAGTTTTTTGATGATGGTTAATATTTTTCAGACTTATATATCCTACATTTATCCACATTTCCTTTTTTTTAAATGTGACAAACTGCATGCACATGTAGTATAAAAATATAGTGCAACGGCACTGTAGCTCACATGATATGTAAAAACCGTTCTTAAAACAAAGACAGCCACTGAACATATGGGCGGTGGTATTCACATGTGGTCTGCATAAAAGCTGATGACTAACACTGAAGATGTTATGATGTCATCACAAGAGCAAACATACATGCCAAAGGTGAGCTCCCTCAGTCTGGCAATTTCGAAGGAAAGGCATTTTACAGAGTAAAAACATTATGTATGTAGAGGGAATTGAATGGTCTGAGTTTTTAATATAAAGACCTTAATAACTGTTGAACCCCACAAGTAACTAAATTATACCACATTATATAACAATCTGATCAGAAAAGTTTGCAATGGCCATGAATAGCTTTTTCGATATGACATCTTTGCCCGTCACACTGGAATTTGGTATCAAATCTTTTGAACAAATGGAGCGGTCATCCTTTCAGCACGTCAAATTTCAGCGTAACTACTTTCTGAGGAGATGACGTTTACCGTGTGAGGAAACGTGTTTTGAGAGAATTTAGGAATGTGGTCAAAATGGAAAGGCCAAATAAAGGTCAAAAGGTCAAAATGTAAAGTATATTGCGGTTATAAGTGTTATGTTGTGTCCCTCTACGTATACACATACACCAAATGACATTACATTTTGATTGCTGAGTAATAGCCGTGGCGACGATATTGAAAATTGAAAATTGGATTCGAACCTCTTGGAAAATTTTGGGTACCATCATTGGTGGGAGCAAGTATGTGAAGTTTCAGCTTCCTTGGACCAGTTGTTTCGGAGAAGAGGTTTACGACGGACGCTGGACAAATAGGCCACAACATAAAGTCCCTTGATTGAAGTCAGGTGAGCAAAAATATCCTGAACAGAACTCTTACTTTACATATATGTATGCGAGCCTGGGAAATAGATTCCTTTTGATTTCATAGTAAAATGACGATGCACAATCTGGGGCACAGTATAGGACGGTAAACGGTGACACTGTCAATGGTCATGCCAACATAAAGAAAGGTAACATAACTTGTGTTGCACACACCGAAAATACACACAAAGCATAGAATTACATGATATAATTCACAGAGCGTTTCCCAACAGAATAGCTCACCTGAACACAGATGGTGAAGAGTGCATCATAATCTCAGCGGTGTATATATAATAACACAAGATAAGGATTTGGGGATTTCATATGAAAACTGAAATGGTTCATGGCTTCTATTGAACATAAAGTTTATGTCCCGAGTGAATATTTTTACCGATTGAAAAATGAAAATTATTTCACAAGCAAACTGAAAAAAATTCACGAGCGACATAAACTTGATGTAAAATTGAGTGAAATATTCTATTTCTACAGTCTTGATCTTTGGGTGACATAGAAGTTCACTGGTGGGTACGGGGGTGCATGTTAACTGCCCCTCTGCCGAGTCAAGGTATTATGTGCATCCCTCCCCTCCATCTGAAGCTGGCTATGTAACTAATGACAACATGGTATGAGTGATCACTTGGTTACTGATGTGCTAAAAGTCTCAAGGAACATTGCCACAAGTGTGATGAAGAAGCTTATGATTATACTTCCTTGCCATAAGGTATCTAAAGATACACAAATACATGTAACTCAGACATAATTTCAAATTAAATTTCTACTTGGTAATAAATACATTATACCCATGTAAACTGTCTGACTGAGTATGGTTTTACGCCGCTTTTAGCAACATTCCAGCAATATCACGACGGGGGACACCAGAAATGGGCTTCATACATTGTACCCATGTCGAACCCGGGTCTTCGGCGTGACGAGCGAACGCTTTAACCACTAGGCTACCCCGCCCCTACCCATGTAAACCTTCATTCATAATGTAAAACTTTCATCTTTAATTTCTCAGAAAAAACATCCCACGTTCCTGTATCTTTATCATAGTTTTGAAAGTGATGTTTTTTATGTGTTTTTTCCCCCACTTATTATGTCATTATTATAATTTGTATATGTAGTGGTATGAGGATCTCGGTATCCTTATCAAACGTCGAGTAGTATGAATGGAAGAGCGATGGTAATGCTGATGAGTTTAAATTAATGCATCTTTAAAGCGCAAGAAGAGCATCAGTGATTTTTTTCAGACAACAAATATATTCATTAAACTTGCCATGATTTCATTCACCATGAATAACAGGCTTTGCCTTCCTGATTGACAAACATTTATATGTGTGCTCGTTTCTATCTACATGACAAAATATGGTATTATGTTATGCATTATTTTTGTCACTATATGGGAGATGAAAATAATATTGTAACAAATGTCATATTTGGGATAACAATTTCGCGTACTTCTTAGGTTGCGTCCTATCCGAAATTCGAGCCCACACCGCCAGAATGTAACATTTGTTACTTTGGACACTTTGTAAATGACACTGTTTGAAAATGATACTATTTTCATGTCACGTGATGCATTCCACAGAAATATCATTTGTTTACATTTAACGTTGGCTCGTTTTAAACGATTTCGCTTGCAAATGTTAGACTGATATCATAGATAAGTTTGTCTAAAACGAATGAGAAATGCGAATCTTCCTATGAGTTGAGCTTTTCCAAAGAAACAAACAACATGGTCAAGAGTAGCTCAATGCAAATACTTGAAACAAGCTTCCTCAAACTTCTTTTGAAGACAGTTCAGCTACGGTATTATGTAATTATCGGGTGTTCTTTAACTTCATTTGAATAGTATACAGTGGATAATCTCAAGCATGGGAATATATGGTTCAGACAATGACGTCCATTTCTGTAGCATTCCTTCATATCTTGTAGCCGTTGATGATCTGGTTGTATGGTAGGTCGGGACATACCCTGGAGCACCTTGTTGCGATCTCTTCCTCATCTTCTCCTGATATTTCTTCCGTTAAGAGGAACTTGTTGACTAGTTCTGGTAAACTAGAAAAGCTTCTATCGCGGAAAGTGAGATTCAAGTTGAATGGGTTGGAATGAATGGCCTCTGATGGATGTCCCTGGAATGAACGATGTTGGTCAAATTTTAACGTCACAGCAAAGTGCAAAACAGCCTCCTACTCGCGGCTAGCTAAATATTGGTTGGGCCAAAGATTCTGAAAATGAACGTGGCTACTGAGGTTATAACGGTGATTTTTGTATGTACACTTCTTAGTTGATCAAAATATAAACAAAATGTCTTCCGTGTCCGTAGATCAATACACCCATCAAAATGGAAAACAATAAATGAATCGAGGCTGCGAGATCAGATTTATCCCCTTCATAATATTTGATTCATGATTTGCAATTTGGGGTTCATTATTCATACCTTCGCAGAATAGAATTTCTGTAAAAAAAACTGTTGCATATTAAAGCTTGTGAAATTTGAAACTGTCAATTAACTTTAAATGCTAGCAATATGTTGCTACAGTCATCAGTTTCCTATCTATATCAAGAAGTCCTGTGTATGGTCGAGTCTGGACAAGACAAAATCAACTAAAGCTAGTGGTTAACATTATCAGCATCAGGGATACGATGACACATCGGACCAGCATATCCAGTTTAGTCCCTGTTGACAAGCACTGGATTGCTGACGAACTGTTGTAACCTGATATGTCCACCAGGTCAATCAGAGTGTCAGAGAGTGAGAATGGTTTTACGCCGCTTTAAGCAATATTCCAGCAATTGTACGGCGGAGAACACCAAACATTGGCTTCACAGATTGTACCCATGTGGGGAATCGAACCTGGATCTTGGGCCTCAACGAACGAACCATGTAACTACGTATCTACATAAACCGACTAAATGGATCAATAGGAGGCGACTAATGGGATCAGATGATCAGGCTTGCTGACTTGGTTGATGCATGTCATCGTATCCAATTTGCGTGGATCGATGCGCGTGAAGTCAATCACTGGATTGTCTGGTCCAGACAAGGTTACTTGCAGACCGCCGTCATATAGCTGGAATATTGCTGATTACGGCGTTAAAAAACACACAAGACATAATTCCCTCTTCACACACAAATATTTGAAGCCTATGACACGATTATGATGACATATAAAACCAGGCAGAAAAAGACCACACAACATCTTGTAGCCATTAGTTACCTGTATGAGAAAGTGAGAGATTGTGTCGTCCGTCATGACAAGAGATAGTGAAAAACTCCCCGATTCGCGTTCACTCCCGCTCATTCTGTAAGGTGATCAAACGGCATATCATGTTGAAGCATCACCATTTAATCAAACGAAAACCATTAACACAAAGTTATTGAAACATGCAATCTAACTTTTTGGTTATGTTTATGAGGTGTGCACGTATAACCAGAGCCTAATTTGTCATAGTCCGAGTGAGTGAGTGATTATGGTTTTACGCCGCTTTTAGCAATATTTCAGCAATATTACGGCGGGGGACACCAGAAATGGGCTTCACACATTGTACCCATGTCGGGAATCGAACCCGGGTCTTCGGCGTGACGAGCGAACGCTTTAACCACTAGGCTACCCGACCGCCCCCATAGTCCGAACATTGGTAGCAAGATATTGTTATGGTATATGAATTAACACTGGATGAGTGAGTGAGTGAGTGAGTTGGGTTTAACGCCGCTTTTAACGGTATTCCAGTTATTTCACGGCGTGTCAGCTTACTGTGGGAGTAAAGCCCCAAGTGATGCAGGTCTGAGACGTTTACCACTTCGGTGAAACCCACGAGCACGGGTATGGTGCTGATAAACCTAGAAACATGATCGGGGCAACCGGGATTCGAACACACAATCACAGGTTTCTGGCGTGCCCAAGGGAGGCAACTCTGTAAAGGCGAATCGCGGCGCCTTAGACGACTGGGCCACCGGTGCCCCCCGGGGTGGATGAGATGGCGCTGTGACTGTTAACCTTCTATAACTAGCGCCTGACAAGGCAGCTAGGGTTGTATACTACCCGGGGAGATTAGAACAAAAATCGGGTGCACACTTATCCACTGGTGCAGGTAATAATATTAGCGCACCCCGTGGAGTTTACCGCAATATAAGTACACACATTGTTATTACTATTTATATTAGTCAACAGACGTTATATGTGGAAAATATATTGAGTACTCTGCGCTCCGAGACAATCGAAGTGTCGATATTGGAATCACTAGACGTTGTCAACGGTGCCGAGACGATAATGTTACATTTATCAAATGTGTTCTGGATATCATGAGTGTGTTCACCTTGCTCCTATCATTGGTATATAATAATCTGATAGCTCACCGAATCAAGAACGTGCCAGGTGGTTTTCCTTTCAATTTGTTTTCTGCATCCTCTGTTTTCAGTTGCCCAGCGAACCAGCTGGAAGAGGGATGGAATTAGTCTTGGTATTGGCTTCACATTTGGTATTGGGACACTGTGACAATATGTTTTATCTAAATCTGCTGAAATAGATTCTATAGGTCGTAAGTGGCATAGGAATGATGACAATTATATAAATGGATCACTGAAAACATATGATGACACCAGGTGTTCTTGATAATGACCGCCTCCTATGTCTGGTGGATAGAGCGTTAATCCGCACAGCGGATCCGGACCGCGTCATACCAAAAGATGGCACTTGTGGTCACCATTCATGGCGCTCGGCAAAAAGGGGATTCAAGAAGGACTGGTCGGCTTGGAGTATATTGTGTATCAGTGCATGTACATGCACGTCACCACATACGTTCGTCAAACTACGTGACGTCAAACGCCATTTCATCTCACTTGTAATCTTGATGAACGACGTTATCTATGTACATCTCTAACCCTACATACAGACGTGGTGCTCCTACCAGCTCTTTTTCCTCTTGTCTCTAGGATCTTTGATCAGTGAGTGTTGAACCAAGTCTTCCAGCTACAACACGAGAAACACATCATGAACAGTTGTAGTAAATTGCCAAGCAGAATAAGGTATATACTCAGCCCAAAATTGCAAACGTTATCAAAACGCGAAAAAACAAAACGTTACTTGGCTGAAAACAGCCGAAATACATTACCATCGAAAAATCATTTCCTGTTTGTTTCATTTTCAGACACCATCAGACATAGGTGTATACTATTTTTTTCCCGTCAGTTTATATTAGTTATGTTCATCAATGGTAGTTTTACGCTGGGTAGTTTACGCTGTGTTAGGAGGTACCATGTTTTCGTTCCTGTAATACTGGTATGGATATTGAGCGGTTTTACGCCGCTTTCAGCACATCTTCCCCAGGCAAGGGCGTTCACTGACTAAAGAAGTGCAGAGTCCACCCTCTTCGAACTAGGCTGGAATTTCCAGGCTCGATCGTAGCGCCACCAGTGGCTATTACGAGTTATGCACCTTCTAAGTCCCTCCAACTGACCAATCAGATTCCACCTCTCGTATTACTTGCATTTGCTTCAAACAAATTGGCGGCACCCTGTCAAGACGATCTGATCGATAAACAAGACCTATATTATAATAAAACGGGTCTTACCTCGTGAAATGCATCAAATCACTTGAGCACCTTGATGACAAACATAAAAAGATTTACAAAAAGGCTGTCGACACCCATTTGACGGTACACGTGCTTTGCAAAACCGGCAGTCGACCGAAATCTGCACGTTAAAATCCACGTTGTTTGCGGACCGGATGCCCAGTTCGTCACGCGATTTTGATTGGACTATGCACAGACTCCGGAATTCCTAGTTCGGCAAGGGTGGAACCGGACATTTATAGTTAGTTGACGCCCTTGCCTCGGGAACATTCCAGCAATATCATGGGAATTGGCTTCACAATGTGCTCAAGTTGGGAAACGAACCCGGACATTCGATGTGACCAGAGAACGGCTGAAGGCGTCACCACCGCTTTTAATGTGATATAGAGGTTGGAAACATGATGAATGTCAAACCTCATCTCAAACTGAGAGTGAAAGTTCTCTCGTATCATCCAACATAGGGCAACACCAAACTGATACCTGTTTCAGGACCACGCATCTGTCGTCTTCGGCTCTGAAGGGACCGATGAATTTGATCACCGTCAGAAACGCTTGGATGTTCACCTTATCAAGAGATTCTGAAATAAACATTCATCTGAAATATGAGACTTGATTATTTATGCGTTGGGTCATCATTGACATACATGGGGCACTGGGAACCTATTTAGTCCTGGAATTCCCATGAGATGACATACAAAGAACACTGAGAACCTATTCAGTCCTGGAATTCTGATGAGATGACATACATGGGGCACAGGGAACCTATTCAGTCCTGGCATTCCCATGAGATGACATACATGGGGCACTGAGAACCTATTTAGTCCTGGAATTCTCATGAGATGTCACACATGGGGCACTGAGAACCTATTCTGATCTGGAATTCCCATGCGATGACATACATGGGGCACTGGGAACTTATTCAGTCCTGGAATTCCCATGAGATGACATACATGGGGCACAGGGAACCTATTCTGATCTGGAATTCCCATGAGATGACATGCATGTGGCACTGAGAATCTGTTCTACTCTTGAATTAATTCTCATGCGATGACATACATGGGGCACTGAAAACCTATTCTGATCTGGAATTGTCATGTGATGACATACATGGGGCACTGGGAACCTATTCAGTCCTGGAATTCCCATGAGATGACATACATGGGGCACTGGGAACCTATTCTGATCTGGAATTCCCATGAGTTGACATACATTCGGCACTGAGAACCTATTCAGTCCTGGAATTCCCATGAGATGACATACATGGGGCACAGGGAAGCTATTCTGCCCTGGAATTCCCATAACATGACATACATGGGGTACTGAGAACCTGTTCTGCTCTGGAATTCCCATGCGATGATATACATGGGGCACTGAGAACCTATTCTGCCCTGGAATTCCCATGAGATGACATACATGGGGCACTGAGAACCTATTCTGCCCTAGAATTCCCATGAGATGACATACATGGGGCACTGAGAACCTGTTCTGCTCTGGAATTCCCATGAGATGACATACATGGGGCACTGAGAACCTATTCTGCCCTGGAATTCCCATGAGATGACATACATGGGGCACTGAGAACCTGTTCTGCTCTGGAATTCCCATGAGATGACATACATGGGGCACTGAGAACCTATTCAGTCCTGAAATTCCCATGAGATGACATACATGGGGCACTGAGAACCTATTCTGCCCTGGAATTCCCATGAGATGACATACATGGGGCACTGAGAACCTGTTCTGCTCTGGAATTCCCATGATATGACACACATGGGGCACTGAGAACCTATTCAGTCCTGGAATTCCCATGAGTTGACATACATGGGGCACTGAGAACCTATTCTGCCCTGGAATTCCCATGAGATGACATACATGGGGCACTGAGAACCTGTTCTGCTCTGGGATTCCCATGAGATGACATACATGGGGCACTGAGAACCTATTCAGTCCTGAAATTCCCATGAGATGACATACATGGGGCACTGAGAAACTATTCTGCCCTGGATTTCCCATGAGATGACATACATGGGGCACTGAGAACCTATTCTGCACTGGAATTCCCATGAGATGACATACATGGGGCACTGAGAACCTTTTTTGCTCTGGAATTCCCATGAGATGACATACATGGGGCACTGAGAATCTGTTCTGCTCTGGAATTCCCATGAGATGACATACAAGGGACACTGAGAACCTTTTTTGCTCTGGAATTCCCATGAGATGACATACATGGGGCACTGAGAACCTGTTCTGCTCTGGAATTCCCATGAGATGACATACAAGGGACACTGAGAACCTATTCAGTCCTGGAATTCCCATGAGATGACATACATGGGGCTCTGAGAACCTATTCTGCTCTGGAATTCCCATGAGATGACATACATGGGGCACTGAGAACCTATCCTGCCCTTGAATTCCCATGAGATGACATACATGGGGCACTGAGAACCTATTCAGTCCTGGAATTCTCATGAGATGACATACATGGGGCACTGAGAACATATTCCGCTCTGGAATTCCCATGAGATGACATACATGGGGCACTGAGAACCTATTCTGCTCTGGAATTCCCATGAGATGACATACATTGGGCACTGAGAACCTATTCAGTCCTGGCATTCCCATGAGATGACATACATGGGGCACTGGGAACTTATTCAGTCCTGGAATTCTCATGATATGACACTCATGGGGCACTGAGAACCTATTCAGTTCTGGAATTCCCATGAGATGACACACATGGGGCACTGAGAACCTATTCTGCCCTGGAATTCCCATGAGATGACATACATGGGGCACTGAGAACCCTTTCTGCTCTGGAATTCCCATGAGATGACATACATGGGGCACTGAGAACCTGTTCTGCTCTGGAATTCCCATCAGATGACATACAAGGGACACTGAGAACCTATTCAGTCCTGGAATTCCCATGAGATGACATACATGGGGCACTGAGAACCTATTCTGCACTGGAATTCCCATGAGATGACATACATGGGGCACTGAGAACCTATCCTGCCCTGGAATTCCCATGAGATGACATACATGGGGCACTGAGAACCTTTTCAGTCCTGGAATTCTCATGAGATGACATACATTGGCACTGAGAACCTATTCTGCTCTGGAATTCCCATGAGATGACATACATTGGGCACTGAGAACCTATTCAGTCCTGGCATTCCCATGAGATGACATACATGGGGCACTGGGAACCTATTCAGTCCTGGAATTCTCATGATATGACACTCATGGGGCACTGAGAACCTATTCAGTCCAGGAATTCCCATGAGATGACACACATGGGGCACTGAGAACCTATTCAGTCCTGGAATTCTCATGATATGACACACATGGGGCACTGAGAACCTATTCAGTCCTGGAATTCCCATGAGATGACATACATGGGGCAATGAGAACGTATTCAGTCCTGGAATTCTCATGATATGACACACACGGGGCACTGAGAACCTATTCAGTCCTGGAATTCTCATGATATGACACACATGGGGCACTGGGAACCTATTCAGTCCTGGAATTCCCATGAGATGACACACATGGGGCACTGAGAACCTATTCAGTCCTGGAATTCTCATGATATGACACACATGGGGCACTGAGAACCTATTCAGTCCTGGAATTCTCATGATATGACACACATGGGGCACTGAGAACCTATTCAGTCCTGGAATTCTCATTAGATGACATACATTGGGCACTGGGAACTTATTCAGTTCTGGAATTCCCATGAGATGACATACATGGGGCACTGAGAACCTATTCTGCCCTGGAATTCCCATGAGATGACATACATGGGGCACTGAGAACCTTTTCTGCTCTGGAATTCCCATGAGATGACATACATGGGGCACTGAGAACCTGTTCTCCTCTGGAATTCCCATGAGATGACATACAAGGGACACTGAGAACCTATTCAGTCCTGGAATTCCAATGAGATGACATACATGGGGCACTGAGAACCTATTCTGCCCTGGAATTCCCATGAGATGACATACATGGGGCACTGAGAACCTATCCGGCCCTGGAATTCCCATGAGATGACACACATGGGGCACTGAGAACCTATTCTGCTCTGGAATTACCATGCGATGACATACATGGGGCACTGGGAACTTATTCAGTCCTGGAATTCCCATGAGATGATATACATGGGGCACAAGGAACCTGTTCTGATCTGGAATTCCCATGAGATGACATGCATGGGACACTGAGAATCTGTTCTACTCTGGAATTAATTCTCATGCAATGACATACATGGGGCACTGAAAACCTCTTCTGATCTGGAATTGTCATGTGATGACATATATGGGGCACTGGGAACTTATTCAGTCCTGGAATTCCCATGAGATGACATACATGGGGCACAGGGAACTTATTCTGATCTGGAATCCCATGAGATGATATACATGGGGCACTGAGAACCTATTCAGTCCTGGAATTCCCATGAGATGACACACATGGGGCACAGGGAACCTATTCTGATCTGGAATCCCATGAGATGACATACATTGGGCACTGAGAACATATTCAGTCCTGGAATTCCCATGAGATGACACACATGGGGCACTGAGAACCTATTCAGTCCTGGAATTCCCATGAGATGACATACATGGGGCAATGAGAACCTATTCAGTCCTGGAATTCCCATGAGATGACACACATGGGGCACTGAGAACCTATTCAGTCCTGGAATTCCCATGAGATGACATACATGGGGCACTGAGAACCTATTCAGTCCTGGAATTCTCATGATATGACACACACAGGGCACTGAGAACCTATTCAGTCCTGGAATTCTCATGATATGACACATATGGGGCACGGAGAACCTATTCAGTCCTGGAATTCTCATGATATGACACACATGGGGCACTGAGAACCTATTCAGTCCTGGAATTCTCATTAGATGACATACATGGGGCACTGGGAACTTATTCAGTCCTGGAATTCCCATGAGATGACATACATGGGGCACTGAGAACCTATTCAGTCCTGGAATTCTCATGAGATGACACACATGGGGCACTGAGAACCTATTCTGCTCTGGAATTCCCATGCGATGACATACATGGGCACTGGGAACTTATTCAGTCCAGGAATTCCCATGAGATGACATACATGGGGCACAGGGAACCTATTCTGATCTGGAATTCCCATGAGATGACATACATTGGGCACTGAGAACCTATTCAGTCCTGGAATTCCCATGAGATGACACACATGGGGCACTGAGAACCTATTCAGTCCTGGAATTCCCATGAGATGACACATATGGGGCACAGGGAACCTATTCTGATCTGGAATCCCATGAGATGACATACATTGGGCACTGAGAACATATTCAGTCCTGGAATTCCCATGAGATGACACACATGGGGCACTGAGAACCTATTCAGTCCTGGAATTCCCATGAGATGACATACATGGGGCAATGAGAACCTATTCAGTCCTGGAATTCCCATGAGATGACACACATGGGGCACTGAGAACCTATTCAGTCCTGGAATTCCCATGAGATGACATACATGGGGCAATGAGAACCTATTCAGTCCTGGAATTC